AGTGTTCTCCCAGATGGATTTTCCCCCGAGAGATCGTCTCGGATCAGGGCACCCAGTTTACTGCTGAGGTAACACACCAACTGTGGATGTTATGCGGTATTTAACCGATCCTGAGCTCCTCATACCACCCACAGACCAATGACCTGTGTGAGCGTTTCAACGGCACGCTGAAGCAGATTCACCATAACTTTGCAGAGACTCGCAAGGAATGCCGACAGGTTCTCAAGGCAGTCGGAACTGGAGAAGTGATCCGTGAGTAATCCCCTGGTCATCCCGAAGCCGATCCGTTGGGATAAGACTGTGTATGCCGGCTTGTGGTTAAAGGGGAGTGTGTGGAATTCTAACCTGACAAAAAAACTGGATCTTTACCATGCGGGCAGGCTTTTCTGTGCCTGGGAGACACAGGGAAGGTCTCCTTTTCCCGCGCCTGGACTCCCAGGCACAGAGGGTCCTGGGAAGAAGACCCCTGGTGTCTGGTGTGGGAAACCCTGTGTTTCAGGGGCTGGCTTTCCATATTTGGGAGACATAGAGATAGCATCCCCCCGTTCTCGTGCTTGGGCTCCCTGGCATAGAGGATCCTGGGATAAAACCCCTGGTTGTGTGTGTGGAAGACCCCTTGAATGGGGTTATGCATAAAAAGCAGTGTGGGGCCAATAAAATTGTGTTGTACCTCCAGAACTCAGTCTCGTCCAGTTACTGGGAGGAAATGAGTCTCATTGTATACACTACAGTCTCTGCTCTCCCCCATAGATTATCACTTCCTCCTTGACACCCACTCCTTCCTCATTTTGAATCTCATGTCTCATTTTGAGACTAATGGCTGTGCACTGGCTGATGATACATTATGATTACCAACAAATATGCAGATAGTGATAGAAAGCTATTCCCAAGACAAACCTGCAAACAAGAAACCTTAATGTTTTGTATAGCGTAGGTGCAGCTGAGTACCTCCACTAAGAACCTCTCCATGATCCCACATAATGATTGGTGATTATAGCCCTCACCAAAGCATCAGCCAAGGCTTGATGAAACGTGAAAATAGGGAATACTTTATTGAGTGAGACACGGGTTTATATACACAGACGCCCAGCATTGGTTCTCCAGTAAAAACATACGTAAGCCCGCCCAGGCGCCTCTATGTCTGGAAGAGGATTGCAACACACACTGCTTAATTCAATTAACGCCCAGGCACACAGGCGCATTGGGCGGGCTTACACACGAAAAACCTCAAAAACATACGGAAAACAGTGGAACGCATTAGCGGATAGTTTATCCCCGAATACCCAATCTGGTTAAAATAGCGCTCTGATTCGAAGTCTGTAATGGAAGCACCACCTGGTTAAAGTTTTAAACGGCTAAGAGTCTAGACAAAAACAGTTCCACATGGCCGACATGCAAATAGCGCTAGTTCCCCCTCGAGCCTTGGTCAGCATACCGAAGGTGCCCTCTCGCTAAGGGTGCCTGCCACAGGTTCAGGGAAGCCATTTTAGGTGATTATAGGACTTATTATGTAAAAGTAATACTGGTTCTTCCCATGTACAGTATATATCGAGTTATTAATGTTAATTACAAAATAATATGTACCTGAAAACCATCATCACTCTGCATCATACAGGCAATAAAATCTCCCCTATACAATGTCCTGGCCTGATTGTTAGGGAATGTATAGATGAAAATATGAACTATACATTAAACCTGCTCAACCTATACGACATAAAATACTACTAACAGTAACACACACTCCAAATATATTCATAGAACTGAACAAATATATTCCACATTTTTCATTGAGCCCCATTTCAGTTGTGTGGTGTATCTGATTCAATGTATGATAGATAGGTTAGTGTTAGTCCTGCGATCAAACTCCCACCACTCCTGGCAGCAGCAATAACTGCACAGACAAGTTACAGTGCTGTCGCCCACCACATGTGTTTCCAGTTTAGGGTTAATAAGCATGAAGGGGTTTAGAAAAATATCCCTCTGTCTCATTTTTTTAACCTGAAGCTTGAAGAAGCAAAGCATATTAAATAGCTATTGGAGTGATACTGAAATCCTCCAGCTATTTAACCCCTTAGTGACCAGGCCGTTTTTCAATTTTCTTACCGTTAAGGACCAGGGCTAATTTTTACATTTCCGCAGTGTCTGTGTTTAGCTGTAATTTTCCTCTTACTTATTTACTATACCCACACATATTATATACAGTTTTTCTCGCCATTAAATGCTCTTTCTAACAATACCATTATATTCATCACATCATATAATTTACTGTAAAAAAATATAAAATATGAACAAATAAAAAAAACAAAAAAAAAAACTTTTTTGAAGCTACCCGGTACCTACTGCTCTATCACAGGACCCCTCACCCTATAACTATCACTGCTCTATTACAGGACCCCTCACCCTATTACTATCACTGCTCTATTACAGGACCCCTCACCCTATACCTGCCTGTACCTATCACTGTTCTATTACAGGACCCCTCACCCTATCACTGCTCTATTACAGGACCCCTCACCCTATAACTGCCTGTACCTATCACTGCTCTATTACAGGACCCCTCACCCTATAACTGCCTGTATCTATCACTGCTCTATTACAGGACCCCTCACCCTATAACTACCTGTACCGATCACTGCTCTATTAAAGGACCCCTCACCCTATAACTACCTGTACCTATCACTGCTCTATTAAAGGACCCCTCACCCTGTAACTGCTATAACTGCCTGTACCTATCACTTTTCTATTACAGGACCTCACCCTATAACTGCTCTATTGCTGTGACCTCTACTCCTATAACTGCTCTGTACCTATCACTGTTTCTATTACAGGACCTCACTTATACCCGCCCTGTACCTACTACTGCTCTATTACAGGACCTCGCTACCCTAAGGCAACTGCCCTAAAATTTGGTCACTGCTCGGCTAAGCAGACCTCACCTTGCACCTCTGTACTCTGCCTACCACGGCTACAGGACCTCACCCTATAACTGCCCTGTACCTATCACTGCTCTATTACAGGACCCCTCACCCTATAACTGCTCTATTACAGGACCCCTCACCCTATAACTGCCCTGTACCTATCACTGCTCTATTACAGGACCTCTCACCCTATAACTGCCCTGTACCTATCACTGTTCTATTACAGGACCCCTCACCCTATAACTGCCCTGTACCTATCACTGCTCTATTACAGGACCCCTCACCCTATAACTGCTCTATTACAGGACCCCTCACCCTATAACTGCCCTGTACCTATCACTGCTCTATTTCATTACCCCTCACCCTATACCTGCCTGTACCTATCACTGCTCTATTACAGGACCCCTCACCCTATAACTGCCCTGTACCTATTACTGCTCTATTACAGGACCCCTCACCCTATAACTGCCTGTATCTATCACTGCTCTATTACAGGACCCCTCACCCAATAACTGCCCTGCTCTATTACCTGCCTGTACCTATCACTGCTCTATTACAGGACCCCTCACCCTATAACTGCCTGTACCTATCACTGCTCTATTTCAGGACCCCTCACCCTATAACTGCCCTGTACCTATCACTGTTCTATTACAGGACCCCTCACCCTATAACTGCCTGTACCTATCACTGCTCTGTTACAGGACCCCTCACCCTATAACTGCCTGTACCTATCACTGCTCTACTTCATTACCCCTCACCCTATAACTGCCCTGTACCTATCACTGTTCTATTACAGGACCCCTCACCCTATAACTGCCCTGTGCCTATCACTGTTCTATTACAGGACCCCTCACCCTATACCTGCCTGTACCTATCACTGTTCTATTACAGGACCCCTCATCCTATAACTGCCCTGTATCTATCACTGCTATATTACAGGACCTCTCACCCTATAACTGCCTGTACCTATCACTGCTCTATTACAGGACCCCTCACCCTATACCTGCCTGTACCTATCACTGTTCTATTACAGGACCCCTCACCCTATAACTGCCCTGTATCTATCACTGCTATATTACAGGACCTCTCACCCTATAACTGCCTGTACCTATCACTGCTCTATTTCAGGACCCCTCACCCTATAACTGCCCTGTACCTATCACTGTTCTATTACAGGACCCCTCACCCTATAACTGCTCTGTTACAGGACCCCTCACCCTATAACTGCCTGTACCTATCACTGCTCTATTTCATTACCCCTCACGCTATAACTGCCCTGTACCTATCACTGTTCTATTACAGGACCCCTCACCCTATAACTTCCCTGTGCCTATCACTGTTCTATTACAGGACCCCTCACCCTATAACTGCCCTGTACCTATCACTGTTCTATTACAGGACCCCTCACCCTATAACTGCTCTGTTACAGGACCCCTCACCCTATAACTGCCTGTACCTATCACTGCTCTATTTCATTACCCCTCACGCTATAACTGCCCTGTACCTATCACTGTTCTATTACAGGACCCCTCACCCTATAACTGCCTGTACCTATCACTGCTCTGTTACAGGACCCCTCACCCTATAACTGCCTGTACCTATCACTGCTCTACTTCATTACCCCTCACCCTATAACTGCCCTGTACCTATCACTGTTCTATTACAGGACCCCTCACCCTATAACTGCCCTGTGCCTATCACTGTTCTATTACAGGACCCCTCACCCTATACCTGCCTGTACCTATCACTGTTCTATTACAGGACCCCTCATCCTATAACTGCCCTGTATCTATCACTGCTCACCCTATAACTGCCTGTAGCTATCACTGCTCTATTACAGGACCCCTCACCCTATAACTACCTGTATCTATAACTGCTCTATTACAGGACCCCTCACCCTATAACTACCTGTATCTATAACTGCTCTATTACAGGACCCCTCACCCTATAACTGCCCTGTACCTATCACTGTTCTATTACAAGACCCCTCACCCTATAACTGCCCTGTACCTATCACTTCTCTATTACAGGACCCCTCACCCTATAACTGCCCTGTATCTATCACTGCTCTATTACAGGACCCCTCACCCTATAACTGCCCTGTACCTATCACAGGACCCCTCACCCTATAACTGCACCTCTCACTCTTTCCTGAAACACAAATTCCAGAGGAAGTCAACTGCTCTGCCTTCCCCTCCCCCATCTCCTGAATGCTGTAAATAAATGAGCCAGACTTCCTGCTATGAGTCATTGATTGTTGCTGACCTGTGTTTTGCCCAGGGCCAGTGACTAGCTCCCCCTCCCCCACACCACCCGTGATACAGTAACACTGAAATAGAACATTCATGGAAATTCCACAGATACCACAGGTTCTGTCATTACATCCTGTGACGGCCTTCTTGGATATAACACAGAGGTTCCCGAGATTAGTGAATTATTTATATAGCACCATCAGATTCCGTAGCGCTGAATGACAGATCGTATAATATAAATAAATTCCCCTCCCCCTTAGGCCTTATTCACGCAGTTTCTGTCACTCTAGTGAATTAGTTCCCTGTACCTTTTATATCTATCACCATTTCAGTTTTAACATTGTTAAAAATAGAAAACACTGATGTAATTAGTTGTTTTGATTTGGTTTTATTATATAAAAACATAAGGTCCACAGATGGGTAAACAGCAGACATTGTCCCACATTATAACCATTGAACCCCCCCACCGTACAATACAAACAGCGGGTTATACCATGTAAGGAGAGCTTGGTCACTTGGAATATGAAACAAAGTCTTGGAAACGTATGCGGCTCCTTTAAATCCTGCCCCGGGATGAGGTCCCTTTAACAGTCCGAGTGCCAGCTGGAATGAGGCTCTCTGGCACTCTAAGGGGCGGAGCTTGTATGCATGTTAGTCCCATCACTGTGAGCCAGCCTGGATGAGGGCCGCCTGCAGCCCATTAAAACAGTCCGTCTCTAGTTCAGAAAAAGAGGAGCTGGCCCTTTAAACAGAGGGTGTGAGCTTTCCTGCCCACTCACCGAGTGTCAGCTCTGACTCAGCCAGCAGATACTGTCCTGAGTCACTGGTTTCTTCCCGGAATAACCGGCCAGGGTGCCTTTAACCCTTCCTGTGCTGGATCCTTGGGCCCAGGTATCACCCCCAGTCCATGCCAGTATTGGGGGGTCTCCCCACAGTTCCATGTGACCCACATCAGTCACCTGACTTTGGGGGGCCAGTCCTATACCTGTCCATGGGGGCCCTGCTCTGGGCAGCCATTCCACCTGCACCCTTTAAACTGGGGGTGCTGAAGGTCCTCCAGTGATGTTGGGGTTCAGTCTCCCCAATTCCAGGATAATTCCCTCCTCTCCTTTGTGTCTCTCAGAAAGCCTCCACAGCCCTGCTGATCACCCCTGGCATGGCCCCTGCTCCCAGGGCCCGGCATCCTCCCGGCAGGGGGGGGCCCGAGGACCCCAGCAGTCTCTGGAGAACCTCAGCCAGGCCAGGGAAGGCGCCCCCTTGTGGCTGGGGTAGGGGGGTCTCCTGCCACAGACAGGCTCGCTTTGTAGGCACCAGCTCCAGCATCTGGGACTCGCAGCTCCTTCTCTTGCGGCTCTCCCTGGCCCCCGGGGCCGCGGCTGGGGGAGGCAGGGGCTGGGGGACATACACGGGGGCCATGAGCAGGTCCCTAGCGCTCCGCATCACCATGGACAGCTGCAGGGAGCGGTGCAGCCGCATGCCCCCTCTCTGTGTGCGGGAGCGCAGCAGCTTCCAGGCGGACAGGGAGGCGATCCTCTGCGCTTCGCGCTGCACAGCCTCCTGGTGCGTCAGATATTGCGCCTCCATTGCGTCAGTTTGTAGAATGTCACTGCTGAGCGGCGTTCGATGAGCTTCACTGAGGAGCTTCCTGAGACTGCGGGAGCAGAGGGCTCCGGAGGGAAGGGTTATATGCTCACACTCACCCCAGGGAGGAGCACTCACTGTAAGGAGGGGTCAGTGTTTAAAGGGACAGAGCCCCAGTGAATGGAGAGAAGGCACCACTCACATCACAATATACAGCTTTCACTTTCTGTACTGGCTGATAAAATAACTCCCTGAGATAAAAAAGCAAATCAGAAAAAATAAAATACAATAATAAATATCATGTGAGGGTAAAGAGAGTGATAAGAGAGCTGATAAACCCAGCCCCATGTACAGAGAGATGGGGGGGGGGGGAGGGGTGTTACTACAACAACATTGCAAGACATATTATATCATCAGAAATTCCATAATTTCAGGCACGAGGAAATGGGAATTCTTATTTTATTATTTTTTTATGTAGTGTTCTTTTTAAATAGGTATTCAAACACCAAGTTCGTTTATTTCTAATTTATTTATGAATTTTGCGAAAAAAATGTTTTTCAATACCAAACGTCAGCCCAGCCATCGCATCGCTGCGTCATTAACATTTATTCCATATTAATATTTGTAACAGTTTGGCTAAATCACTGTAAATATCCCCATATGTAAATTGTAAATCCCTGCGGAATGTATCAATTATAATAGTAATAATAATATTAGCCATCAGTAATGTAGAGGAAGGCAGTGCCAAGACGTGTAAAAAAAGTGAAAAGGCTAATAATCCAGATAAAATGAGAAATATTTCCCACACACCATGGATAAGGTATGAAGTGTTATTCCGATGACACGTTCAGCAGGGACATTCCATTGGTTTCCATGGTGATTGTTCCACATTTAGAACTTTGCCCCAGAATTTATTTTTTTATAACGTACACTAACTTACAGTCACTTCCTCCTCAGCATTAAACGCTTTCAGGTTTGGATGGTGTCCCTGGCACTAAAGAGTTAATCGATCCTCCTCCCTCTTGGTCACTGTGACCTCATTCTGCGATTTCCCCCCTCCCTTGTACGGATTCCATATCTATATTAGGCAAGTGTGACATCAGGAAGGCGGGCAGTGGGGGAAACACGCAGGCGAGAGTGCCCAGAGGCTTCCTGTGCCCAAATATGGCAGAGTAGGCCTAGGAGGGGGCATGAGGGGGGAAAGCTCAATGCTAGTAAGTGAGGTACTTCCTGACTAAGAGGGAAGTGAGTTTATTTTTGGAATTACATGGCTTATTACAGCAGATCACACACCGTAAACACACGTTTATTATTTATTATAATTATTAAAGTGTTGTACAACAATGGGATTTAAACCAACTGTTTCCCTAAAGTGCTAAATTTCGTTTTTAAATTCACTGCAATTCACTGTTACGTAAATTAAGCTCAGTATGTACAAAAATCAGATATTATTTATACAAAGCTTTATTCGTTACATTTTAAAAGAACAACTCCCAGCACCATAACCACTACAGCCTGATAAAAGAGAAAGTGCGTCATAGGGGCTGGTAACAGTGTAATAATAATGAGAAATACTGTTACAGAGAGGAGTGGGAGACAGTATCTGACAGTGATAGGGGGTCTGATACTGTTACAGAGAGGAGTGGGAGACAGTATCTGACAGTGATAGGGGGTCTCATACTGTCACAGAGAGGAGTGGGAGACAGTATCTGACAGTGATAGGGGGTCTCATACTGTTACAGAGAGGAGTGGGAGACAGTATCTGACAGTGATAGGGGGTCTGATACTGTTACAGGGAGGAGTGGGAGACAGTATCTGACAGTGATAGGGGGTCTGATACTGTTACAGGGAGGAGTGGGAGACAGTACCTGACAGTGATAGGGGGTGTGATACTGTTACAGGGAGGAGTGGGAGACAGTACCTGACAGTGATAGGGGGTCTGATACTGTTACAGGGAGGAGTGGGAGACAGTATCTGACAGTGATAGGGGGTCTGATACTGTTACAGAGAGGAGTGGGAGACAGTATCTGACAGTGATAGGGGGTCTGATACTGTTACAGAGAGGAGTGGGAGACAGTACCTGACAGTGATAGGGGGTCTGATACTGTTACAGAGAGGAGTGGGAGACAGTACCTGACAGTGATAGGGGGTCTGATACTGTTACAGGGAGGAGTGGGAGACAGTACCTGACAGTGATAGGGGGTCTGATACTGTTACAGGAAGGAGTGGGAGACAGTATCTGACAGTGATAGGGGGTGTGATACTGTTACAGGGAGGAGTGGGAGACAGTACCTGACAGTGATAGGGGGTCTGATACTGTTACAGGGAGGAGTGGGAGACAGTACCTGACAGTGATAGGGGGTCTGATACTGTTACAGGGAGGAGTGGGAGACAGTACCTGACAGTGATAGGGGGTCTGATACTGTTACAGGGAGGAGTGGGAGTCAGTATCTGACAGTGATAGGGGGTCTGATACTGTTACAGAGAGGAGTGGGAGACAGTATCTGACAGTGATAGGGGGTCTGATACTGTTACAGAGAGGAGTGGGAGACAGTACCTGACAGTGATAGGGGGTCTCATACTGTTATAGGGAGGAGTAAGGGACAGTACCTGACAGTGATAGGGGGTCTCATACTGTTACAGAGAGGAGTGGGAGACAGTACCTGACAGTGATAGGGGGTCTCATACTGTTACAGAGAGGAGTGGGAGACAGTATCTGACAGTGATAGGGGGTCTCATACTGTTACAGAGAGGAGTGGGAGACAGTATCTGACAGTGATAGGGGGTCTCATACTGTTACAGAGAGGAGTGGGAGACAGTATCTGACAGTGATAAGGGGTCTGATACTGTTACAGAGAGGAGTGGGAGACAGTACCTGACAGTGATAGGGGGTCTGATACTGTTACAGGGAGGAGTGGGAGGTCCCGTTCTTACTGTTAAAGGGCACATTGCCCACATTAAAGATGGCACCGGCATGCATGTGACGTCACGTTATCGACGCACACACATGTTTTGGGGTCAACGGCCATGTACTAACCAATCACAGCACTGCGAGGCATATTTAAACCCTGTAATGCCTTTCCTCAGTGCCCTGTCATGGTTTCCACTTGTTGGTTGTCAAAGAGCACGTTCTTGGTATATTTTTCTAGTTATTGACTTTGGCTATTGTTTTTGACTCTCCCTTCTTCTGGTATCCTGACCCATGTATATAGTGAGTGTATGTGTGCTGTGTGAGTGTAGAGCTGGCTTAGAGCACTGGGAGTGAAGAGAATGTAAAAGGCCAGTACTGCTTGTCCTGTGAGACACAGCCTGTGCTCCTTGTAAGATGAAGTAAACACACAGAAAGTGGCCAGTCTGGATTGTCTGCTGTCTGGGGTGTCACCACACACACCCACAAATGGCGGGGTCACCTGTGCTCCCAGACGCTATATTACTATTACTGGATCATTATCACAATAAAAGTGTCT